TACCTGCATGACAACCACATTGTGCACCGGGACATCAAGGTTAAGCCCCAGGACTGGCCTGGGCTGCAGCAGGCTCCTGGGAGGGGAGGAGACATAGTCTCAGACAGAAACTGGCAGTTTAGATTAAGTTGGCAGACTGGGTGCAAAAGGTAGGGAATTCATTTGGAAGTGTCCTTAGAGAAGAAGAGAAAATCAACCCTGAAGCCAAACAAGGTGTCAGCTCCCAGAGAGTCACATAAGTGGGATGACAGGGGAAAGTATTGATAGAGGCAGGGCCAGACTAGGATCCCCAGAAGATAGGGTCCCAGGAAAGAGTCCAATTCTGCTCTCAGGGCCCCAGCTCAGTGTCTGCTAATCACCATCAATCAGGGGGACAATGTGCTGATCAATACCTTCAGTGGGCTGCTCAAGATTTCTGACTTTGGCACCTCTAAGCGGCTGGCAGGCATCACACCCTGCACTGAGACCTTCACAGGTAACAGAATGTGGGGGTGGTGAGTGAGGGTGCAAAAGAACTCTTAAAGCCTTCTAGGGAATAGAGTATTTCCTGGGAATGGAGTTAGAGTCCTAATGGGGGAACGAAACCCAGGAGAGTGATTGGACCCAGGGATGAGGTGATGGAATCTTGAATTGGAGCTTGGATAATTGATGAAATTAAAGTTAGCACCTGAATTGGAGCCCAGCAGTGTTAATGCAGGTCAATGTGGGTGTTGGAGGACAAAGGTAGTAGAGTTCAGGGAAGATGATGCAATCCAGGATACACAATGGAACTCTACTGTGGGTGATGGAGCCTAAGATGAATGTTGGAAACCTTGGCAGGTGATGGAGCCTAGGGAGGTTGATGAAACTCAGGAAAGGCTTTTGATGTCCAGGGTAGGTGATGGAGTCTATTTTACATGATAGGTTCAAGGTGGGTACAGGTGGCCAGAGGATGCTGAAGTTCTCCTCCCCCACATCATCCTCACCCCATGATAAAGCCTTTACAGGCATTCTTGCTCCCATCCTAGGGACCCTGCAGTACATGGCCCCAGAAATCATTGACCAGGGCCCACGAGGGTATGGGAAGGCTGCTGACATCTGGTCATTGGGCTGCACTGTAATTGAGATGGCCACAGGTCGCCCACCCTTCCATGAGCTAGGGAACCCACAGGCTGCCATGTTTCAGGTGAGACCTCTCAGAGTCTGGCCCAAGGTGGGGTGGGGCCATATTTCTAAACTTGACCCTTGTTTTTCCTCCCCCCTCAGGTGGGCATGTACAAGGTACATCCACCAATGCCCAGTTCTCTATCTGCTGAGGCCCAAGCCTTCCTTCTCCAAACTTTTGAGCCAGATCCCCGCCACCGAGCAAGTGCCCAAGCACTGCTGAGGGACCCCTTCCTGCAGCCTGGGAAGAGGAGTCGAAGCCCTGGCTCCCCCCGCCATACTCCACGGCCCTCAGGTGCTCTGGGAGTGGAGGAAGTGAGCATACTGGAGGGCTGAGGAGCCATGGAGGTGACAGGGTGTGGGAGGACCCAGTTGACAGTCTTGTCCCTCCCTCAGATGCCCTTTCCACCAGTCCCACTCCTTCAGCTGACTCGACTACCCAGTCCCAGACTTTCCCACGCCCTCAGGCACCCTCTCAGCACCTGCCTAACCCCCCGAAGCGCTGCCTCAGTTATGGGGACACCAGCCAGCTCCGGTGAGAGCCTGGGGTCCTAAGGATGGGTTTCCTTTGTGTCTGGTTTTGCCATTGTACTCCTTCCATCCTTGGGGCTGGGCGCGGTGGCTCACATCTATAATTCTAGCACTCTGGGAGGCCAAGGAGGGTGGATTGTTTGAGCTCAGGAATTCCAGACCAGCCTGAGCAAGAATGAGGCTCAGTCTCTAAAAATAGCCTAGCCTTGTGTCAGTCACCTGTAGTCCCAGCTACTCTGGAGACTGAGGCAAGAGGATTGCTTGAGCCCAAGAGTTTGAGGTTACTGTGAGCTGTGATGGCACAGCATTCTACTGAGGACACCAAGTGAGAGTCTCTCTAAAAAAGAAAAAGCCACCCTTGGGGGCCTTGGCACCTCGCCACTTGCAAGGATGGCATTTAGTGTCTTGTGTCCTGTCCCAGAAGCTCTAAGTTGTATTTTTTGTGCCCCTCAGTTCTAGGTATATCTCTTTTTATCCCTGTGAGGTAGGCATAAAAGAAGACCAAGATTCAAACCCTGCTGTAGAGGTGGCTTAGGGTGGGTATTGCTGCCGGCCCTCCATCAGCTGCTCTCCGTTGTATCGTGCCCAGGGTGCCAGAGGAGCCCGGGGCCGAGGAACCCACGTCCCCGGAGGAAAGTTCCTGGCTGAGCCTGCTGCACCTGGAGAGCAAGCGCCGGGCCATGCTGGCCTCGGTGCTGGAACAGGAGCTGCCCACACTGGCGGAGAATCTGCTCTTGGAGCAGGAGCAGGAGCAGGAGCAGGTGGGCGGCCCACCCCAGCGCCCCCTAGTGGTCGAGCGTGGCAGGACTCCTGCTGATGACCTCCCTAGCATCTCTCAGGGCTCGGGTGGGGACACGGGCTGACAGCCCTTGTCTTCCTTCTCAGGGTTCCTGTTTGGGCAGGAATCATGTGGAACAGCTGCTGCTCTGTCTCAGGGCGCACATCCACTCTCCCAACCGCCGGCAGCTCGTCCAGGAGCTGCGGGCGCTACAAGGGCAGCTGCAAGCCGAGGGCCTTGGGCCTACACTGCTGTATGGACCGCTCTTTGCCTTCCCGGATGCGGTGAGCCTGCTTTCTCATATTTAAGGCTACCCAGTAACAGATTGTGAGCTCCCTGTACCTAGAAATGCGCAAGGACTTGATGTTCCAACATTCTGTGTCTCCTGTCTGGTGATAGGGCCATTAGGAAGGGACATCTACCCAGTCCTCGCTTCCCAGCCCTTCCTGTCATTCCAGCACACTGATTCCACTTTCCTCCCACAGACTTTCTAGGCCTTTCTGACTCAAGTCCCACTTCTAGTTGGGGCTCAGTAGTCTCAGCGGCGCCTTCCCCTCCCTGTCTAGGTGAAGCAGATCCTCCGCAGGCGCCAAATCCGCCCACACTGGATGTTCGTGCTGGACTCACTACTCAACCGCGCGGTGCGGGCAGCCCTGGCTGTGCTAGGCCCGGGTAAGAGTAGGAGTGGATCCGGACGAGGGTGTGGCCCCTGGGGGCGTGGTGAACGCCAAATAGGCCTGCCAGGGGGCGTGGCTTGTGTGGGCCTGGATCCACAGGAACACGCCGCCGCTGCTGGTGCAGGCGTAATTAAATGGACCTGTCCCAGTCTGGTCCCTGCCTAAAGCCCTGTACTCACTGCCTACACTCCCTCACCTGTGTCTGGGGGTCCCAAATGGGCATTCTTGCCCTGTCTGAGCTCATCCCACTCGGAATGGCAGAAGTGGAGGAGGCAGTCCCATCGCAGTCAGAGTTAAGTAAAGAAGGAGAATCCCAGCAAAAGCTGCAGGAGACCCAGGTCCAGCAGAGCCTGCTCCTGGAAGAACCCAAACAGGGCCCCGCGCCTCTGATGGTGCAGCTGAGCGTCCTGCGAGCAGAGACTGATCGGTAAAGCCTCTTAGAACCTCTCATACACTCCACGCCAACTTCAACGCTGTCTCCATTTGCCACTCCATTCTACACTCTGCCCTTCAACAGGCTTCGCCAAGTCTTGGCCGAGAAAGAACGGGAGTGCCAGGTTCTAGTGCAACAAGCCCTACTGCAGGTGAATGAGGAGGCCAGGACCAACGCCCTGGCCTCAGAGCCCTCAGGTGAGTGGGCTCTGGCTGTAGTGGTGGGTGTGAGTCAGCTTCTAGCAGGAGCCACAGGCAGGCTCATCACCTGACTTTTTGACAGCTGTCCTCACAACAGACCAGAGCCTGGTGCAGTGGCTACAGGAACTAAGTGTAGATTCAGCCACCATCCAAACGGTGAGGGGGCCCTGCCAGCTATCCCTGACTCCAACAACTACAGACTTCATCTTTGTCTTTCTGCAGAGAATCTCAATAATGGAAGAGCACTTAATACAGTAGTTCTTAACCTTCCTAAAGCTGCACCCCTTTAATACAGTTCCTGTGGGTCGCTGACTTAATATATTCTTTCCATTGTACAGATGAGAAAAGTGAGGCCCAGAAAAAGGGGGGTGATATACCTTCTACAGTAGAAGGGAGCTAGTACCTGGGTCTTTGTACACATCTTTCTGGGATTTTATCTGTTTCTATGGGTGTTTGTCCACAACCAGCTGCTGAACCACAGCTTCACTCTCCATGCTCTGCTCACCTGTGCCACTCGAGATGACCTCATCTACACCCGAATCAGGTACATCTTGGGCCCTGCAGGGATGACCCAACTACATGGCCCCATGCTGGCCACCTGCAGGCCTGGCTAGGTTCGTCTCTTGGAAATCACAGGTGTACCTGTATCACTGGGCACTGAGGGAGCATTGGGCAGACAGTGGGTACCAGAGAGAGCCCAGGGCCACCTTCTGGCTGAGCCACATTGAGCCTACTACCCCTAGGGGAGGGATGGTATGCCGCATCTGGAGAGCCATCTTGGCACAGAGAGCAGGATCCACACCAGTTACCTCTGGACCCCGGGAGGCTGAATGAGCACATCAGAGGCAGGACAGAGCCAAGATGGATGGATGGAGAAGACATAGCTGCTTCTGACATATCTACACTAAGATCCAGGGGCAGCTGCAGGAGGCCAGGCAGGTGGGGGCCAGGGTAGGGCCCAGGCCTAGCCTCAGTGGGAGGAACCAACCACCAAGGCACCTAAGCACACTGAGCACTACCAGACAAATATTTTTTTCAGACAAATATTATTAAACAGAACACTTTTGTACGCTTGTCCTGGAAATTTTAGAGGGGTATCTGTGGGGGGTTATAGGAGTAGCCCTGAGGTCTTTGTGTCAGAGTCTGAAGTTCCTTAATCTGGTTCCTCTCACTTCCCTGGCTCTTTCCTGCTGTCACCTTCCCTCCTCTCTTTCCCAGCAGACACCAGCCCCTTATTTCCCTCAAAGCAGACTTTATTGACTTTACCTAAGGGCAGACCATGAGAAGGTCCAGAGAGGAGGGTATGATAGGGCTATGTCCTGGGGGCCAGGTTGGTTCTGAGGGGTAGAAGGCCATCCACCCACTCGCATGGCTGCTCCAGGACTGTCTGCCACAGCTGCTTCTCCTCAGGTGTGGAATCCATCCAGGGGACCTGGAGCCCGTAGCTGCTGCCTGGATGTGGGCAGGCAGGGGTGGAGGGCATGGTCACACTGGGCACCTCAGGCCCAGGAAGCACCTATTTGGTCCCAGATTACACATTGTGCCAAGTCACTCCCAGTTCTCAGTGGACACCAAAGCTTGAGAAAGAGCAGAAAAGTGCCCAAGGCCACCCAGTATCAGCTTCTCTTGGGGACCTGCCCTGCTTACCAGTGCCCAGGCTGAGGCGTATGCCCCCCAGCTGGCGGCTGGCGAGGGCCCCATGGTCCCAGAGAGAGAGCTCAGCACAGGCCTGGCGCAGGTCAGCAGGCCCAAAGCCATCATAAACCATGGTGTGGTTGAACACGGGTTTGAGGCTTCGACGCATCACCCTGGTACGCTGGCGGCTGGCCCGGCTGTCATCAGGCAGCACTGAGCTGTGGGGAAGGTGGGCTGGTGTCAGGTGACGACCACCCCCTCACATTCCCTAGAGGCAACAAGTCACCAAGTCCTACCTATTCTTCCTCACATATGTCCATATCCCCTGGCTTCTGTCTGAGACCTGGCCTCAAACCCTCACTGCCCTGGGAAATTTGCACCAGATTCCTCTCAGATCTCCTGCCTTTTAAAGTTTCAACTACATCGTAGGGCCCCAGAGTGATGTCTCTGAAATGCACTTCTGCTACTTCTGGTTCAGTGACTTTCACAGGCTCCCTGTTACCCCTCCACCCTCAGGTAGTTTCCAAAGTTTTCAGAGCCTCAGAACCCTTTCTGCAAAAAAAAAAAAAAAAAAAAAAGTATATATATATCTGAAAAGTACAATGGCCTGAAAGAAAAACAGAATGCCTCTGGGTGACTCAAGTTTGGAAGCTCAGGACAGGTCTACCTCTATTTCTCTGATGATGGCACAGCACCTGGAGGCACCCGTACAACTACCCTAGAAAGCTTACTTTGAAAACCACTGAACTACAAGTTCAGGGCCAAGCCCCATAGCCTGGCCTTCCAGGTTCTCCATGGAAGGGCTCCTGCTGCCTCTCAATCTCAGCTCTCCAGTAAGTCCTACGGGCTCCAGGCACCCTAAAATGCAACTCTTCAAAGGTGTCCTCAACTTTCCTGACTCTAGGCCTCTGTTCAAAGTGACCTCTTCACCACTCAGTGGCCAAAGCCCAGGCTAGGGGGAACGAGGGTTGATTGGTAGGGGTTCATGGGAGTCCTTAGCTCCACTGCAAAAGGGAGGGAAGTAGCCAGGGCCAGATGCTCCTCACCATTGCACATAGGTATCCAGGGATCCTGAACGCAGTGGGATGAGGTCCTGAGCTTCCTTCACCCAGAAGTGCAGCTCCCCGCTTGGGGGCTGTCCGGCGCCTGTGGAGAGGCTCTACTCAAGCCCACCCCACCGACAGAGTCCACCCGCGCGAAGGACAGGAGTCTCCCGCCTCCCAGAGTCCATCCAGGTTGGCTTCAGGAGGGGCGGTCACTCACCCTCTGAGCCGGCAGGGACGTACTTGAGGGACAGGGAGAGCAGCCCACGGCTGGGAAGCTCATCGGGAGAGGGTGGAACCTGCGAAAGGCGGGTTCGTCATGCGGCGTGGGTGGGGCCTCTAGAGAAGGACCCTAGGGATCCTAGCAGCCCCAGGCCAGGAAGGGTCAGTAAAGGTATGAGGCGAGGGGATGGGGTGAGGGTTTGAGGGAGAGACTGTAGAAGGTGGACTCTGAGAGGGCTGCGGGAAAGTGATGGTGGGAGATCTAGCCGTGGGTCTCCCCACGAGGCCCTGCTGGCTCACCCGGGGCCGCAGGGGGAGCCAGGTAGGCTCAGAGTCCCAGTTCCACGTGTCCAGGGGCACTTCGACTTCGCCCAAAAAGATGTTGCGACCCAGGCTTTCACGGTGCCACACGGACAAGCTCAGCACGCGGCCCCGGAGCTCAGCCTGAGGGATGGAGTACTGGGGACAGGAGGCGCTTTTTAGTGCAGCTCTGTTGGCGCCCTGGAGTCAAGTGCTCAGTGTGCTGAGCGGAATGGAACCCTGGGGACTTCAAGGGGGCCTGGACTATCGCTACGCTTACCACAATACTAACACACTGGGCTGGTCCGAAGGTCCTGAGTTATCGTCATTGTTCACCGTCAGTTACAAATGGAACTCTTTGTTCTCCTCCCGTCTAGATTCTTTCTTTCTTTTCTTTCATTCTTTCCTGCTTCCTTCTTTCTCTTCTTTTTTTTTTTTT